TCATATCCATAGCAGCATCATTCACAGTTGACAAGACAAACAACTCTAATAGTCCTTAACGAATGACTGGATAAAGAAGTAGCAATATATATACTCAATGGAATGCTACCCAGGTGTTATAAGGAGAGGGACACATTATTTTTTGCAGTGACATAGAACTTGAGGTGTTAATGCTGAGCAAAATAAGTCAAAAAGTGGAAGATAATTACTGGATATTTTCTTTCTTAAGTGAAATATAAATTTAAAAAAGCAAATTTTTAACCATTTCTAATAAAAGTAACTGTTAGGTATTGTCTAAATCTAGGTGTTACCATAGTAATTGAAAGGGGTGAAAGGATAGAGGTGATCATTCTAATTAAAGAATGGGAATAAGAAAAGCAAGATGAGATTTAAAAGAGTCACTCTGTCACTAGCCCTAAAGTTAAAAAAAAAAAAGCATTATGGCCAGACCTGAGTTTTGATAGGACTTGAACTGGTACCAACACAGGTCCAAAGGAGGCTGGACCTGGCACCCAACTCAGAGAGAAGCTCTAGCAGGAACAAAGGGTTGTGATAAGAACATGAAGATGGACCACTAAAAGTTACAAAATCTTTTTATAGAAAAAGTCAGAGCAACAGACATCTCCATGGAAAATTTCATCTTTGGGTAGTTGGCGGAACCTATAAAACCAGTTCTGGAAAGGCAGTTGGAATGCTTCCCTGTTTCTGCATCTCTACCTGAAACATGTACTCTTGACTCAGTCCTCTGGAGAAGCCTGAGATTTCTCTTGAACACATTACTCTCTCTTTTCTTCTTCATAATCTCTAAATAAGAATATTTCATATCACTGTTAATCTCCTTCTAGAATTGTTTTGAGTGAAGGAAGGGGGTAGACCTGAAGAAACTGGGTAAAGTTTAGGACTCACTTTCCTTTTGAACAAAGAACAGTTTCTCCCACCCGCCTGAGTTCTGAGGCTCTTAGAGAAATCCAGTGGCTGAGTTCATCTCCCATGCTGGGCAGAACAAGTAGAACCTAGATGGGTTTGATGACTGCCTCATGGGGTTGGTGAGACCTATGGACTGTATCATGTAAGTGCTCATAGCCTATTCACTTCAGTCCAAGATTTCCCCAGGCACTTCCCTGGGTGACAAAGATGTGTAGAGGGGAAAGCAGTTGACTCCTTCCTTCATATGTAAGGTATTAATGACTTCCCCTTTAATTTACTTTTAAATTTTAATATTATTCTATCAGTTTTGCATTGCCCCCAAGGGTATTAGGAAATCCAATTCTATCATACTTTCTACTAGTCCAGTCTTAATAGTGCCTTTAATCTCAAGGCTGCCAAGTCTCTTCTTTCCACTTCACTAACGGACCCACATACAAAAATGGAAATGGAACTGTTCAAGCTACAGGTTTTTCTGTGTTTAAATGGAGAGCAAGGTTTTGACTCTTCGTGGAGAGTGGGGAAGGAATTGTGGAGAGTGGGGAGGGAACTTCTGTTGGCTTTCAACTCTAGAACTTCTTTATTACAATATATACAATGCTTTTTGGGAATGAAGCAATAGTACAGTGGGTAGGGCATTTGTCTTGCATGTAGCTAACCCGGCTGAGCCGGGTTCAATTCCTCTGCCCCTCTTGGAGAGCCCAGCAAGCTACCGAGAGTATCCCGCTCACACGAAAAGTCTGGAAACCTCCCCCTGACGTATTTGATATGCCAGAAACAGTAACAGCAAGTCTCACGATGAAGATGTTACTGGTGCCTGCTCAAGCAAATGGATGACCAATGGGAGGAAAGTGCTACAATGCTTTTTAGGCCTGAGGTGTGAAGAGGAGATAAACATGTGACAGTCAGGTGAATGAAGGGATGCAAGGGGTCATAAATTTTAAAAGTTCTAAAGTTCTCAATCTGACCATGTGGAGGATAATCTTTATTAGGGACATATAAATAAATCGCTCAATATATGGGAGGTTGCAAATATATCCATATATATACATATATACGTGTGTGTATATATATATATATATATATATATAGTGATCTAATTTTTTAGAGGAAGTTTCCTTGGCTGTTCTTAAGGATATCTGGGAACAGTGTTGGCAGTGTTTAAGGGTATCTGGGGAAAGTATAGTCTGTATAGTTTCAATGCTGTGGCAATGATGTGGGTTACTCAGATTGCTGTGCTTAGACTATACCCAGAGGTATTGCTGTGCTTAGACTATAACCAGAGGTTCTGGCAAAAGGGTGCATTCAGAAGCAGTAATCTATCAAACTGTAGGTCTTGGGTATATATGATATCCAGCCATAGACCCTTTACAAAAAAATGTCCTGGCGTATTCAACCTAAACTCTCTAAAACTTTAATAGCAAGAGGTGTGTGTGTGTGTGTGTGTATGTGTGTGTGTGTGTGTGTGTAAATGTGTGTATGTGTATGTGTGTGCATGTATGCATGCTTGCTTGCTTGATAAGCATATGTAAGGTATTAATGACTTCCCCTTTAATTTACTTTTAAGTTTGAATATTATTCTATCAGTTTTACATTACCCCCAAGGATGTTAGGAAATCCAATTCTATCATACTTGTTTCTAGTCCAGTCTTAATAGTGCCTTTAATATTATTTTATTATATTCATAAACTACTTGTAGGTACTTGAGCCCTATTTCTTGACACTAGATTTTCTACTTAGAAGAGAGACAGTTCATGAAAAAGGACATGACACGTTTCTTTGTCAAGCAAATTCTAATAAATTTTCAAATGGAATTGTCAAGCTCGATTAAAAGAGAAACCTGCATTATGACATGATGTTTATCCTTCCAGGAAGGAGTGCATATTCACTGAAGGTGAATAATGTATTTCCTTGTATAAACAATATTTATGTCTCACATAACATATCTGTGACAATGGCAAGGTAGCATTTTGTACTACACCATAATGCTTTTGAAAATTTTTGAAAATTTCATGCTTTTTGAAAATTTCACCAGATTTGGTCAGAACAAATGATTTGAATTGTGTACTGATTAATACATTCTTCATCATTTTAGAATCAAAATGACTACATTTAAAACTTTTCAATATGTATATCAATTCCAATAATAGATCAATATTTCTACACATAAAATGCCAACCAATTAGCTATACCAAACCCGAAACTCTTTGTCCTATGAAATAAGATGTAATTATTTTACCAAATTGGCATTTGGTCTAATTATTTTATAACATTATTTTTATATTTGATTTATAAGCTTAGTCAAGTTTGGTCATCCCAGAATGCATGACAGAAAATTTTAAAGCATAAATGTTCAGATTCAATAGGCAGATGGTAGCTATTGAATACCTCAAACTGGTGGAAGTTAGATTTAAGCACAACTTGATGGCTCACTCATTTGTATTAAGGAAGTTGGATACATCTAAATTGAATATGCTAAAATTTCCAAATACTTCAATTTTATTCAATGGTTTCCCAAGGTTTTGTTGTGGTCCTTTGGTTCCCTTTGTTTTGACCTTCAGGTCTTCCCAAGGTAGGCTAGCATTAGGTGGTCAATATTAAATGAACTAACATAGACCGGGCTAGCTCCTTCAGTTATTTACAGGCTCCTGTTACAGAACATATAAAGTTGTGAGCAACACTTACTGGGAATTATACAAAGAATCTAAGCATGAAAACAAAGAAAAAATACCTTTGCTGTTTTTCAATGGATTGTTCATTCAAGGATGCAGGTTTTGAAAAGAGTATTTCTGAAAACACCCATCTCACAGAAATGTTGACATGTCAGGAAATTTTGGACAATAGTAATGCTTGCAATTTTTTAATGAAGGTAATATTATTTTAGATGATCAAATTTATGAATGTTAGGAGATTTTTGTAAAAATCTAGACATCTGGTTCTTTTACAAAATAGAAGATATGAAAATGCAGTGATTATACTCATATGAAGAAATACTCTTTTATAACTTTCCATTAATCAGGATATGTTCGTTCCAAAAAGTAAACAATGTTTGTATTCTGAAAGAAATTCAGTTGACTCCTCTAATAATCTTTCTTAAAGACACATAGTACCTTTTGGAGAATTTATTGATTCTGCAAATTCCGTTAGTAAATGCTTCTATTTTGTTTAAAAATTTCCATAAATATATTTAACTGTAGATTTTTTTCTCCACATTTTGGGATGTCTAGATAATTTTTCTAGGGATTACGATTCAGGTTTTATGTCAACATTTACAGATAACTATGATAATATTACATGGTATATAGAACTGAACTATAAATTTCTAATTTGCTGGTGTGGAATTTATATTACCTTACTGGTAATTGTGAATGTATTTAAGATACATCCAGTTTTCAGTGAGATTTTCTTTTTCTTTCAGGATCGTTCTTTTTGCATTTAAGGTGTAGAATTTCTATCTCTCGTTGGAGTATTTACATATTCAATAATTATTTCAAACCAAATTGGTAGAGATGAAGAGCCTCTAGATTTTCCTTGAAAGTCCAGACCAGTGGACTCTCTGTGCTACTTTATCTAATAAGAAACCTTAACAATGTGCATTGCAAAGAAAGTTTACAGAGAAAAAACAGATATACTTAGAAAATAATGAAAAGAGTAATAAGAATGTATAATACTATAATTTATTCTAAGAAAAACTAGAACTTAAAGAGATATTCATTCTTAGAAACATCAGCTAAGAAACTATCAAAAAGAAGATCAATCATTCCTTGTTTAGGAGGTGAGCTTCATATGTAACATCCAAGTGACCACTAGAAAAGCCTACTAATGGAGTTTGGCATTTTATCTTACTGCCTGAAGATTCTGTAGTCCTTGTAATAAATTTATTAATTTCAAAATATTGGAGTTGAAAGAGTGGTTTTGAGGAAAACAAAGACCTCATGGGAAAAGCTGTGGCTCACTAGCAGTGCCTAAGTGGGTGTCCTAGTTTTGGGTAAAACTGATACAAGAACAATACATTACAAATAAAGAAAGTAGTAGGTTTATAAAGAAATTATTTACCACTTTAATAAGGTTATCAATATTTGGTCACATTGATCATTCTGAAACCTAATTGTTTTAATGGTCTTTCTATGTCACCAGAAATCTAAACACTCTCAAAAAAAGCAAATCAACACAGAAAGAGGTGTCATGATAAGACTTGTTGATACAGCACTATGTACTTAATGATGCCAGACTTTGGATTTAATCATAGGACAGTTCTGAAGTCTAGGATAGTATACAAAGCCTTAAGACATTGTATGTACAGCACTTATTAATACAGGGATCCATATTCTGCCATAACTCTGCCAGAGTCTTAATAGCTTGGTGGAACAGCTCCCTCAAGAATTCTCACTTGTATTTGTGGAAAAGCTAGTACTTCTAAAAATATTTTCCTGGAAGAGGTTAGAATGGTTATTATATATCAATTGAATATAAAGTATGGTTATGTAAGCCAAGCCTGCATGCTAATATTGCACAGAGTAGAAAGCAATAAAACAGCACAATGTGCTTCCTTGGACCAGCTGCTAGGAATGAAAGGAAGCTCTTGGTTCAGTATAGTTGGAATGCCTCAGATTCCAGGAGTCCACCTGTAGCTGGCCTGCGAGTGCAAGTGCTATGTTGAACTCTCAAAGGGGCACATGTCTTCCTTGCCAGTAGAAAAAGAAGACAAGAAAACAAAAGAAATCCAAAACTCAAGAGATACACCAGTTGCCTTAAATTGTGATATGGTTCATTTTTGGAGAGAATATATAATATTTCAAAATATTATATATACATATATTTTAAATAGTACAAAGTAATTATAGATCCAAATTAGAGAAGAGTTGATTGTTGTTCATAATCCAAATTTTTTTCCATTGAGAAAGCCATTTTCTTCAAATCCCATTTTCCATCAGGAAATTCCATGCCAAGGATTCCAGGTCTTCTCCTTACAGGGTACTTTGTGACACACAGTAAAACCACTCATTATCTGGTAAGCAGTCAAAGATGCAAATTGGAAATCCATTTGGTTTGTAATGGGTGAGATGTTTTAAATTCTTAAAAAGTGTTTTCCGCAGAGTTGATTTTCCTTTATTACTACATCAAATTCTTCTGTTAGGTTCTTGGGTGAATCTGAAAGCAAAAACAGAGAAAGAGATTTTAGAGACAAAAGAATAAAATAAAGGCTCAAAGAAAGGTAATCAGGCAGAAAAAATCTTAGATTTTTAAGAAACTGCTTCTTTCAAGTTCTAAGAAGTAAAAAATGTAACTCTTTAATGATATAGTTCAAAATGGAGATTAAATTACATTTACACCCTGACTTCGTTTCCTTTCAGTTAGTTTATTAAATTAATTTTTCCACAATGGGAGAGATACACTTGTGGAGCAATTTATAATCAGGGCTTTTTCATGGCTATGCTGCATGTGCAATTTCAGAGTTTATGTTGAAATGAACAACAGCCACTATCTTGAAGTTATTAGTAAAATGTCTTGAATGGTGGTTTTTGGGTACATATTCAAGGCTTACTCTTGACATGGTGCTCAAGAGTCACAGCTGGGGGAACTCAGGAGACCATATCTGATTTCATGTGTCAAATCTAAGTCAACTCCAAAACGAGCACCTAACCTGCTGTGCTATTTCTCCAGTTTTAAATTATTAGTTAACTTTGAACAAGAGACTTCATGTTCTCATTTAGTAATGACCCCTGGATATCTGATAGTCCTGTACTGGTCTGATGAGGATTTGAACTAAATAGATTTTTCTATGACTTTTGTCAAACCTATTGTAAACTATAGTGCTGAAAGAGGAGAAAATGAACCTCTAAGTAGAGAACCTTTGTCCAGCTAAATACTCAGTAAGCATTTAGGCATGGAGAAATCCCAGCTTCCCATAGTTCCAACAACAACCAAAAAAAAAGATAATTTACAGAAGGATTGCTAGCTGAAGGATACCATGTCTGGTCTATGAAGCTGCGAGTCTCACTTACATTTCTACATAGGGTTAGTAATCCACAATGAATCAAATAGTCCTGGCTCCATTATCTTCAAGTGAGGGATTCCCCATTACTCTGTATTACCCAAAGAGTTTCTATTACAATTCTCATAGGAGAGGGTAGATAAAAGGGTAGAAGCCCAATTTCAGGTTAAGTGGTTGAACTTTCCAGAGAAAGATATCAACAGTGTGTCTCTTGAATAAAACAGTCTGCCCCTGCATTATAGAAGGGATTAAGAACTTTAAACCTAATGCACTATGGGCATTATTACTTTTATAATTTGCCTATTCTATTCTTTTGCAATTTCTTCTTTTCTTTCATAAATTCTATTCAGAGATAGAGAAGTATTAGTCCATTTTTTTTGTGTTTTACCCCAAGAGCCTGTTCTTGTTCTAAAGTGGGCAAGTATTAAAGTGATATCATTGCAATGATTTGAACACATTTATTTAAGAACATTGGAAACACTTCCAAGGTAAGAACCTTTTATTCTCAAATAATGACTTGTTAAGAGAAATCAAAAGCCTAGTTCTATACCTATTGCTACCATTTGATTGATTGAAATACAGTTTCAAATACTAACATTCGAAAGGATGCATGCACAGAAGAGCCATAGGCTTTGAATATAAATGAAAACTATACCTTAAATGCTTTAAATTTTAAGTGAATCTCCACTTTTTTTATTAGTGAAATACCATGAGATACAGTAGATTTACAAATTTTTGTGCTTGGGTTTTGATTATACAATGATCAAGTACCCATCCCTCCAGCAGTGCCCATTTTCCACCACCATGGATCCCAGTATCCCTCCCACACCCATTCCCCCCCCCCCCCCATCCCACCCTGCCTCTGTGGCAAGGCATTCCCTTTTGTTCTCTCTCTCCTTTTGGGTGTTGTGGTCTGCAAGAGAGGCATTAAGTGGCAATCATGTTCAGTCCATAGTCTACTTTCAACATGTATCTCTCTTTAAACCCAAGGACATAAGGTGTTATATCAATATCTACTAATCATTATTTTATTAATTTTTTAGATGCTTAGAAACTATTTTCTAAATTACGGGGTTGGAGTATTTTTGAAGATTTCAGGAAATCTTCTTTGCAAATATATTTAACATTGGAGTTACTGTTTGTTTTAGACTGAAGTTTTTCAGGAACTATTTCCAACTCTTTTCTTGGGAGCATACCCCCAGTGGCACTCAGAGGGACCATATGAAGTGAGATATGGACCAAGAAGAGCTGGGACCCACTTGCAGAGCAAATGCCTTACATCCAAGGCTTTTTCTTCAGCTGGAGATACTTTTAAAATCATAAATGGAAGAACATTTAATTACCATTATTTCTTCAGGTATTTGTTGTTGTGATCTATTTTTTTGTCTTGTTAACACTTCCTTTGAGTAAGTCTTACATTAAACAAAAAATTGAGGAAGATTTTTTCCCTCTCACTTTGATTCTAATTTTAAGAATATTTTATACTAAATATTATCTCATGATAACAAAGGAAATTTATGTTTAAAAATTAAATTATGTTTATGAATGAAACTCTCTTAAAAGTTAAATTGTTAAAGTCAGTATTTGAGGTATGTAAGAATATTTCTACTTTATAGGGAAAATACATATGACAAACAAAAATGAATATTAAACTTATTTTTAGAATGTGGGATCTATAATCTGGGCTGGAGTGATAGCACAGCGGTAGGGCGTTTGCCTTGCACGCAGCCAACATGGCCGACCCGAGTTCGATTCCTCCGCCCCTCTCGGAGAGCCCGGCAAGCTACCGAGAGTATCTCGCCCACACGGCAGAGCCTGGCAAGCTCCCCATGATGTATTCGATATGCCAAACACAGTAACAACAAAGTCTCCAATGGAGACGTTACTGGGCCCGCTCGAACAAATCGATGATCAATGGGAGGGCCTTTACCTTTACCTTTATAGTCTGGTTTTACAAAGTTATTAATATAGAATGGAGAATTTCTGTATCTGTCATCTGAATCTGATTGGTGGGATTAGTTAAAAGTAGTTATTTTGTTATTTCTTTTTGCTAAGGGAAGAAAATGGAAGTCAGCAGTAGTACTTGATTCCTCTAGGGGTTTTGAAAGTACATCTTTTCCTAGGTATAAGGTAACTTATCTTCTTCTCTAAACACAGACTTGAGTAGTCTTGGCTGACTTATAGGTGTCTCACAAGGCTGTGTATTTGTGTGGTTGGAATGAATGCAAGCATCGTAATAGGTATATCCTCTGCTTTCATACTACAAGGGTGATTTATTTCTCTTGTATGCTCAGCTATCTGGATTGAATTCAGCTCACCCAGGTGGTAGCAAACATAGTGTGCTCCAACTTCTATTACCCTGATCAGATTCTGCACTCTGTGATGCCAGCAGATGTCTAGGAGGTATTTACAACATGCCTGATGGTTTAAAAATAAACCCTACAGAGCCCAAACAATAGAAGAGTACAGAGGTAACAAAAATGCATTGTAGCCAATTTATGCATTTTGTTTGTTTATAGTTTATCTTCCAGAATCTATTGGCTTTGGTACTTGTGACTTTTTTTTCAATTTTAGTCCTGAGACTGTTTTGATTTATACAGTATTGTTTAAATCAAAACAATAATGTATTTGCATTATTGAGTTTAAACTCTGCAACACCATGAGTGCAGAGTCCACTTTTCATAAGGGTGCATGCTTGTCCTTTGGAATAGAGAGTGGTGTTTTGGCAGAACATATATTGGCACTGTGTCTAAACTAGTGGCGATTGGATCCAGTCTAACTGGACATGATTAAGAGTAGTTTATCATTACATTGTGAAGACATCTTCAAATTATTTGATTAAAAACCTCTGCAGGCAAATGTAACAAAAAGGAATAATTAAATGGGGAAAGAGTAAATGGCACAAATTGGACTCATTTATGAATTCTCTCTTTTGTATATATTCCATTAAAATAATAATATACACTGTGTTTCTTGGATACATGCAAATATATGTTAATAAGCTTAGAATGGTTCAGGAAAGCTTTTTGGCTACAGAAAGATCCATTTACTGGTTAATAAAATCAATATAGAAAACTAAAATTTACAGACAGAGAATCTCCACTTACTTTATATACAAAAAAGGTTTTGTAAGGTATTATGCAGCATTACTTAGTTTTATGCATCATAAGCTGTAAGAACCAGTTTTATATTTTGAAAACATAATGCTGAGAAGATAAAAGCATATTAAACCATAACACATGGATTGGAATTAGAAATGGACTTTGATATTTGAGTTTCACTTCTGGAAGACTACATTGGTAAATGTAACTGGCAAAGTTTGTTTTGGGAATCATCTGTGAGGCCTACAAAATAGAGATTATACTCATGTAGTATCTATATTATAGTATAATCATAGGGTAATAAAATATTGATGTGATTTTTCACTAATATAAAAGTAGACACTTAAGTATCTTGAGCACCCACCACTCTTTCCCTTTAGGACTTTCAGACTTCCAATGGTCCAGGACACATAGAATCGATGTCTCTCCTAACTAGTCCTGAGCACCATGACATCAATTCCAAAAAGCTGTGTAGTCTCATCATACAGGTAGTTATATATTTTAGAAATAACTTATGATTTTAAAAAATTCTTGACTCACCATGAGATACACAGTTACCTATAATCTATTTATTTACTTTTAGTTTTGGGGTCACACCATGCGATGTTCAGGGGTTACTCCTGGCTCTGCACTCAGAAATTACTCCTGGCATTGCATGGGCGACCATATGGGATGCCAGGGATCAAACCCCGGTTGGCTGCTTGCAAGGCAAATGCCCTACCCACTCTACTATCACTCCAGCCCAGTTACTTATAATTTACTCAAATAAAAGAAGGAATAGATTTTACAATCTTAAGTGCTTTAACTTCCTTTAAATATTACTTACAAATTCTTTTAAAGACACTTTAGAAAATAGTGGCACTTAAATGTGATTCTTTCAGCAAACCATATAGCAACACCTTATCTTATCTATTCTGAACAAAATAGACTTGAATTGAATTATCCAAATAATTGACTGAGAACTCTTCCCCTTTAGTCAAGACAAATATAGCTTTATTTATGAGTCGGTAACAGAAATGCTAAAGTGCTCATTGTGCATCAGTCAAATTCCATCTCTCACATCTGGAAGGATGAACACTGATCAGGATGATTAAGAAGTTTTCACTTGAGGGAAGGTTCTTTTCTCTACTGTTTCAAGCTGTCTAGGTGCTTTTTGTGTAACACAAAGGAAAATAGCAGACTTTGGAACATGCAGGAGACATTTGAAATAAATGAACTTACTCTTGTGGTCTTAATTTTATTGCCTGTAGCGCACATCCATCCGGAATTATCAGGGAGTGTCTTACATTCCTCTCCTTCTAGACAAGGCTCCATTTCACACCACCATTTCCCAATCACTATGGAGGCTGTGCAGAAACAGGAAACAAATGGATTTGCAATTCATCCAAACAACTTGGACCCTCAGATGTGTCCCTCTGCAGATGATAATGCTCTGAAGCACACAAGGTCATACTGATATATAACCCTGTGTGTGTGTGTGTGTGTGTGTGTGTGTGTGTGTGTGATGTGTGGTTCCTGGTTTAACCTAGGAACTCATAATCTACCATAAAATGTGTTCCTCTTGATTATGGAATGATAGCATAGCAGGTAGGGCAATTTCTTTGCATGTGGCTGACCTGGGTTTAATCTCATGTGGTCCCCTACTCCCCCACCAGAGTGAACCCTGAGCATAGAGTGAAAGTAAAACCTGAGCACTGATGATTATAGCACAAATACAGTAACAAAAAATAACTCTTGAACTTTGCATTGCTAAGAATATTGACAAGAATTCCCTTTAAAAATTAGTTCCTCAAATCTCCTGGGACTACACCTCCCAGGTAACCTCTGATTCCGGAAGTCACACCCACAGCCCGCCCCCCCAGCGCCATATTTACAGCATTCAGCCAAAGAGAAGGACAACATGGAGGGCGGGATCTACAGATCCCAAAGGAAAAAAAAAAAACAGGTTCCAAAAAGAGCCAAGATCATCGGGAAGCCCCAGATGGGGTAGGTACCGCATCCCGCCTCCCCCAGATGGAACCCCGGTGACCAGAAGCCTCTACAACCACAGCTCGAGTATGCGGGAAGTAGGACTTTTCCTCAAATCTCCTGGGACTACACCTCCCAGGTAACCTCTGATTCCGGAAGTCACACCCACAGCCCGCCCCCCAGCGCCATATTTACAGCATTCAGCCAAAGAGAAGGACAACATGGAGGGCGGGATCCACAGAGCCCGAAGGAAAAAAAAAAAAAACAGGTTCCAAAAAGAGCCAAGATCATCGGGAAGCCCCAGATGGGGTAGGTACCGCATCCCGCCTCCCCCAGATGGAACCCCGGTGACCAGAAGCCTCTACAACCAAAGCTCGAGTATGCGGGAACTAGGACTTTTCCTCAAAACGCGCGGCCGCTTACGCGGCCGCACGACATCTATCTACATACAAAGTGATCCATATATACAAAGTAAACCACCCAACGTTTCTCCCTGAAAATCATAGTTAAGTTTGGAGCATGGCCGCAGCCCCAGAAGCACAAGGACTTAATGCAGAACCCAACAGCTTGGAGCAGAAAAGTGAATGGACTATGCGTTAATCCAGGCCATCATGACTCTCCAGAGGGGAAAGGGTGTTGCCCCATTCGCCCTCTCCTCTCTGGAAAGAAAGATGGCGGCCACATGGGAGCCTTGTGGACAGCAGGCGTGAGCTGGGGGAGTGGGGGCGACTGGAACCTCATGGGAAGGGGGGCGTTCCGGTCCGTCCTTCACACCCTACCGAGGTCACCAGTTGCCCCCCGCGAACGGTTCTCCAGCACGGCCACGGTCCCAGAAGCACAAGGACTTAATGCAGAACCCGGCAGCTTGGAGCAGAAAAGTGAAAGGACTATGCGTTAATCCAGGCCATTAAGTCTGCCAGAGGGGAAAGGGTGTTGCCCCATTCGCCCTCTCTTCTCTGGAAAGAAGGATGGCGGCCGCATGGGAGCCTTGTGGACAGCAGGTATGAGCCGGGGGAGTGGGGACGACTAAAACCTCATGGGAAGGGGGGCGTTTCGGTCCGCCCTTCACGCCCTACCGAGGTCACCAGTTGCCCCCCCATGAGCGGCTCTCCAGCACGGCCACAGCCCCAGAAGCACAAGGACTTAATGCAGAACCCAACAGCTTGGAGCAGAAGAGTGAAAGGACTATGCGTTAATCCAGGACATCATGTCTGCCCGGAGGGGAAAGGGTGTTGGTCCCTTCCGCCCTCTTCCCTCTGGAAAGAAAGATGGCGGCCACATGGGAGCCTTGTGGACAGCAGGTATGAGCCTGGGATGTGGGGGCGACTAAAACCTCATGGGAAGGGGGGCGTTCCGGTCCGTCATTCACACCCTACCGAGGTCACCAGTTGCCCCCCGCGAGCAGCTCTCTAGCACGGCCACGGCCCCAGAAGCACAAGGACTTAATGCAGAACCCGTCAGCTTGGAGCAGAAAAGTGAATGGACTATGCGTTAATCCAGGCCATCTGGTCTGTCCAGAGGGGAAAGGGTGTTGCCCCAGTCGCCTTCTCCTCTCTGGAAAGAAAGATGGCGGCCGCATGGGAGCCTTGTGGACAGCAGGTATGAGCCGGGGTACTGGGGGCGACTGGAACCTCATGGGAAGGGGGGCGTTTCAGTCCGCCCTTCACGCCCTACCGAGGCCACCAGTTGCCCCCCCACTAGCGGTTCTCCAGCACGGCCACGTCTCCAGTGCACAAAGACCAATTTCTTAACTATCTGACTTTCAGTAGAAATACTTCCAGGGTCAATAAGTAAAATAGCAGAAATTCAAAACCAACATTTGGTTCTCGAACCCAGCTGTAGAAAGCAAATCACTTCACAATGCTTTTTCAGCATGTCTGATTTGGGGGGGGGTAAACTCTAAATAATAGTGGTGAATCTTTTATTGAAACAATGAATCTAATCAAAGCAGATAGAGTGTTAACTAGAATTCATCTGCCCCACAGGGACTGGGAGGGGTGGGGGGTGGGGTTTTATTGGGGTTCTTCATGGTAAAAAATAAGTTTTGCTAAAGGGAAATGTGTTTGATGTTTGCATGACTGAGACCTAAACCTGAAAGCTTTGTAACCTTTTCCACGGTGATTCAATAAAGAATTTAAAAATAAAATTAGTTTTACAGTATAAATATGAATATGCCTCTAGTTTTAGAAGCCTATTTAAAGAAAAATTAATTGATTAAAGACACAAAGAAAAACCTAAAAAGTAAAAACCAGAAGAAATAATAAATAAAAATGTTTATTTATATTCAAAAGCATATTTGGTATGAGCTGTATTTTCCTTTTATATATACATACAGATGGATAAAACATTCAAAAGTAGAGCCTTTGTTAAAATGTCCCTATTTTACAACGTTATATCAAGGATGACAAAAGGAAGAAATCAATAAATTTAGTGCATATCTATAACACACTGTATTTGGCTAATCACTGTCACTGTCCTCCTGTTGTTCATCAATTTTCTTGAGTAGGTCTAGTAACGTTTCCATTGTGAGACTTTGTTGTTTCTGTGTTTGGCATATCAAATACGCCACAGGGAGCTTGCCAGGCTTTGCCGTGTAGGTGAGATACTCTCAGTAGCTTGCCGGGCTCTCTGAGAGGAGTAGGGGCTGGAACGATAGCACAGCAGGTAGGACGTTTGCCTTGCACACAGCCAACATGGCTGACCCTAGTTCGATTCCTTCACCCCTCTCGAAGAGCCTGGCAAGCTACCAAGAGTATCTCACCCACACGGCAAAGCCTGGCAAGCTACCCATTTGGCTAATAATATTTATAAAACTATATTCATTCAGTTCAAGAATTTTCACTATCTTCCTTATTGCCCTGAGTAGAAAATTGTTCTTGCATGACCATTGGGAATTCCTGAGAACTGGAATACCAGTAATCTCAAACCATCCAATCCTAAACAAAGGAGAATGCCTACCATACTGTTTAATTCTCAAGACATAGGACCAGATGACATCTGTTAATTAATTCCTAAGACCTTAATTTTTCACATATACACATGCATTTTTCAATTCACAACCATCAGACCCTCTGCACTGTTTCACTTTGTTTAGTTATCAATGTTTAACTCTGGCTATTTTTAAAAAATATTTTTATTTGGGGGAACCTTTGGGCTATACTCTACTGTGCTTAGGGCTTTCTCAAAGCTCTTTGCTCATGGGTCATTCCTGATGCTACCCAAGGATCATTTGTAGTGCTGGGGAGCAAACCAGGGTCATCTACATGCAAGACAAGTATCTTAGCATATCTACTGTCTTTGGTCACTGGTTGGCTGGAGTACCAGTAATCTCAAGGCATCTAATCCATATCTGTTAATATCACAGAGGATTAAAATGGAAAGGCGTAAACCCTTCAGTGAGGCAGGAGCACATTAAAATTCTCTATCCATTCAGCATGGCATTCAATAGAGAGCTTAGAATGTTTAAACCATTCTCACTTAAAAGCAGAATGGTTTGAACATCCAAACTTCTATCTGCATTCAGTCTTTCCCCTTTAGGATTCCGTGTACCTCAATCTTCATGTATAGATAAACATACTATGCAGGATTATATATGCAAAATTATGTCCATTCATTATGTTGTCAACTTAAGGACATTTTAAAGGATAATTTTACCTATATTTGATTTATGTCTTATAGGTGGACCATGCCAATTCATGTAAAATGTAACTTCAAATGGATCAGGGAAACAAGTAGAGATAGTAAAACCTGATAATTAATTTTATTTATATGAAGACAACCTGATATTTTGGTAACATACAGAGTAGTAAAATACATTGAGGGTACAAAATAATTATGATAATTTTTAATTTTTTTAAATATAATGGTTCTATACTGGAGGAGGGGAAGATTATAATCACTGGTGAAACAGACCATTTTATGTGCATTAATAGGTGACAATAGTAAATAAGAAAACAATCTATTTTCTCACCAAGAAAAACACATGTAGTGTTTGTTGCAGGGGAAAAATAAATTGCAATGCTTCAGGTACCATGAAATAAAACTAGAAGTCAAAAAGTAAAACAAAAAGAATTAAACTGTAAAAACCCCAGAGTCTGCAGTGTTTATTGAAGGTCTACAATGTGAGGCTAGTAGTTGATTAGAAACAGGTCACTTACATTTGTCACTCTTGTTCTCTTAAAGTCCACCCAATATTTCAGTGAAGTTGCCCCAAATCTACACTGTCAAAAAAGGAAACTCTCTGATCTCAGCTCTGAAGCAGGACTGCCTTTTCTGACCATCTTCAATTTAGCAGTTGCCATTCTTTTTTCACATAACCACACGAATAATGCAATACGGTCAGGGAGGTCAGCCTTTAGGATGTCGCCTTTTTCTGAAG